TAATAATAATAATAATAATAATAATAATAATAATAATAATAATAATAATAATAATAATAATAATAATAATAATAATAATAATAATAATAATAATAATAATAATAATAATAATAATAATAATAATAATAATAATAATAATAATAATAATAATAATAATAATAATAATAATAATAATAATAATAATAATAATAATAATAATAATAATAATAATAATAATAATAATAATTAGTAATAACAATAATAATAATAATAATGATAATAATAATAATAATCATTATTACATTATTATGAATAAAACAGTATTACTGCAAACTAAGGATATCCTAGCAAGTAACAGTACAAATAGAGCAGTTATAAATAATTATTTATAAAATGATCACCATCATATATCAGAATAATTAAAACTATCATTATTAATTATTTCGTTGTTATCACTAACATTGTTAAATTATTACTGCCATTATCATTGCTCTCGTTTTTAATTTGCTTGTTCGTTAGTGATGTTATCGTCATTATTATCATTATTATTCACTTATATTGTGAATGCTAATCATTAATTTGATTTTATGTTTCCTTAATTACCACAATTTATCACATTTTTTGCATGATTATTACATTTTGATTAATAATTTTAATCTTGTTACAACGAAAAGTAATTTTATCCTTTTACCATCTCACTTGAAATCCATGCATAATTGTCACAAACATAAAATTCCCTAATTTAGCTAATTTCCATTTCCTTTTACCATACTAATACAAGTGGTATTTTGATGCGAAGAAAGAGAGAGAAAGAGGAAGAAAGAAAGAAAGAGAAATAGACAATAATTAGTATGAAAAATGGCGCCTTAACTACAACAAATTGGGGCCGAATTACGGTAGTTAAATGTTCGAGAGATAAGAAATTTTTATGATAGATATGATGAAAAAGAGGGGAAAGAGAATGACAAAGTTAGGCAACGGTTATTGATGATAACAAAGGCAATTGGTAAGGATGTATATTCATTCGGGTAACGTTTTTAATGAAGGTATGCTTAATGAACGTTCTCTTGAAAGCCTTATTTGCCTTACTTAAGTGCCTGTTTGCATCAAAATTAAGAATTAGCAAAGAAAAGCCGCAGAGACTAATTTTTCTCTTTTATGTCTATTGAATAAGCTAATTAAGATAGAGAAAGAACAACTTGATCTGAACTGATCTAATCATATTCATGAAAATGGATCATCTCTCATTCTCATCCAACCTTCTTTTAATATTAAAATTAACACTTCTATTATTTATCATTTCTGTCAGTTATTTATTAAGAATATTAATCTGTAAATTCTACGGTATATAACAATAATTTAATCAATGAGAAATTTATGTGCAACATGCTTGAATATGATTTATATAAATTTAAGAAAAAAAAATTGATTAGTAAATTATATTGGAAATTCAGAAAAGAAAATGTATGAAAAGAAATTAAATTTTAAATTACAAGAAATTTACAGGCATATGTTGCTGATTGTTGTTGTAAGGTTTGTAATGCTCCACGATTTATATGAAAACGTCGAGCAACATCACCAAGTGGACATTCTCTTATCAGATCGAAAAGTGCCAATGCAGAAAGAAAACGTAAATGTACCTGAAATATTATTAAAAGAAAAAAAAATGAATTTACAAATATAAGCATTTCATAGTAAAAATAATACCACATATTATAAAATGATGATAAATATCATAAATTATTAATATAAGAAATTGAAAATAAATCATAATAATTATAATAATCGAATTATTGATCGAAATATGATGACAATATGATATGCAACAAATAATTCATTTGTCAAAAAAACGATTATGAGTTCAAATCTTTATATTTTACACTTTTTTTTTTAATTGATACAAATTCTGTTGCACTATAAATTAACATCCAATGTAAATAGAATTATATGTAAGTAAGATTAATTGCTGTTAAAATAGGATGAGTAAATTTGAGTGAATACCTGCATATTGCCTGTTTTGGAGGCTTGTCTGCCTTGAATCTTACCAAGAATAAAACTATCGAGAATACCAATCATTTTACCAACTCTTTGCAATCTGCTAGGTAATTTAGACCAAATATTATAGTAAACATTCCAATCGATGTAATTTATCCAAATGGAATCATTATGGAGTGGCGTCACCTCAAATTATGGTGCTGTATCGTGTTGATACATATATATATATATATATATATCGTGATAGCTTGAAATATCCATCCTCTTTTCCCTAACGAATGATGATCCATTTCAGCTTAATTCTCTTGTGCTCAAGAAACTGCTTATTTCATGTTTTGCAATTCACCGAACAAGAACTACTGGAATTATTGGTAATTTCAAGGAAGAAGTGAGAAAAACTCGGAAAAATTACCAAATAAAGTAAATGAAGCTCGTTATCTAAAGCTAAGGAACGCATGGCCTTTTCAAGATCATCATAAACTTGTAATGCAATATCAGGTGACAATGATGACGTGAATACAGCTCGGCCTAACTGAGTCCCACACAGACCTTCAATTGCACAATTTTAGTTTGCAAAATGAGTGAGACAAACGAAAAATTCTTACAACATAAAAAAAAAACAGCAAAAAATTGTATTAAAAAAAGCAGTGATAAAATAGTGGTAGCATTGATGCTATTCAAATCTTTATTACGCTGAAAGGTACTAATTATTGATTGGGTGCGAAAAATTAGATTTATCACTTTTAAAGACACTAATTATCAACTAGTTATAAAAAAAATAGTTTAAATTTAGTTGATAAACTAAAAATGACACAATTAATACCGAAATCTTTTTGATGACAAATTAATTTTTTTGCAATGAGGAAATTAAGCTCATCCTTTATCGCCAATTTCCTTTCGAAAAACAATAGTGATAGCAAATTTTCCAGATCATTTTCATCCTTACAAAGACCACCGCATACTGCCTATAATCATACTTGTTGTTCGATTGGGAAAATGATCACTGTGACAATTATAAGTTATATTAGAATTTAGAGCAAATTATTATAAATTATTACTGATTAATATTTGCAAATTATTACGATATGTTACTAATTAATATTTGCAAAATACCTGAACGATTAAGTGTAAAGAAAGAATTTTTTACAAAAAGAAAGAAAAAATGATAAGAAAAAATTTTTACAAACAGGAATTATTGATAGATCGAAAGAAAAAAAAAATGAAAATATTTGATGAACTCACATTAAAAAATTGTGGAAGAAAAACGAAAAATGAAAAATTGCAAAATCCAAATTAACCTCAATAATTAATTTAATTCGTTGTCTTCGAACTTCATATCTATGAGCGAAAATTGCTTTTTGTTGAATAACTTGTTGTACTAAATCTAACTGATTCTTGCTACATACCACAATACTTTCACCTGAAATTGCAATATTTCATATGGATACATTCAACTTGTTATTCATTTCTGAATCATTCAGTAACATTCCGGTTTTTGTCCTTCGAAACAACGATAACTACCTCAATTAATAATTTTGAACATTTTACGTGTTCACAAATTCTTCAAGTTTAAATCGTTACACAAATTCGTGTAATAAAATGACAGTTTATCAAATCAATTGTCATCAACACATATAGTAAATCAAATGTTCCAGTTCATAAAAAAAAAAGTCCCCGAGAAATACCTTATAATGCATTGCTTTTCATTAGTTTATCACTTAATTCAATCGTAAACAATGGTATGCTAAAATTCAACCGATTTAATATCAATCATTCAAAGAAGACTTATCATAATGATAACTATTTATCATTTTTATATTACTTTGCTATCGTTTGTAAAATTAAAGATAAAAATTGAAGATGAGAATGCAATATTAAAGATTTTGATAAATTTTATTAAATTTATTTATTAAATTTACCATTTTTTTTTTTTTTTGAAGAAAAAGAGGAAGAAATTGTAACTATTGACAAAAATTTCAAACAGATAGAATTTTAAATGTTGAAATTATTGATAGAGATTTGTTAGATAAGAAACAAAAAGCATTATCAAAAGACTTGGTTTAAAAAAAAAACAATTAACAATACTGTAATTAATGAATCATAAACGATCCATAGTCTTTTGATGATCTTTTCTTCTGCTAAATTCAACTAGTAATAGCCTTTAAGCGCTAATAACAGCAATTGCATTAAAAATAAATGTTGAAGAGCCAATTTAATTATTGCATTCTTATCTTGTCTAATACGTTTGTAAATGTTTGCATGTATAGGCCTATTAATTGATGCTTTTCTGCATTTAATTAAACTCTAAAAAAAATAAGAAAAAACTTGACATCATTCTTAAGCAATAAAAGGATTTTCATTGCTATTGCTATTACATTATAGCCATTGTTGGAGTTATTATTGTTATTGCTATTATCACATCTATATTGTTGCTCATCTATTATATTATATTATTTAATTACTATTATATCACATCACTATTATCGACACCATTATTATCAAAAGTTAATATGTCTTCATATATAATATGTCTTCATATCTTTAGTTAAATTAATGATAATGAGACGATGGTGGTGATAATGATGATGATCATAAGGATTAGTAATTAATTTCATCAGTATTATTCCAATTACTTCTTTCATTTGTTCAACACTCCATTTTCACACAATTTTCAGCACTGCTCAATCAATTTAACAAACACATCCTACATTACAAGGCATTTTTGCAGAGCATAATGGACTTTTTGTATATTTTAAATTTAAATTCCTCCTTTCTTATTTGCTCTTTCTCTCTTCACTTCCTTTAATCCATCCTTTTTCTTGTATTATCTTACCTTCGAATAACACTAACATATACAAATTTATGCACATATATTCGTATTTACACTCCTTTCTCCCTATGTTAAGGAACAAAAGAGGTGTGCACATTTTGATTGGTTATAAAAGAACACTGAAATGAATCGGATTGGTTGCTTTCGCTCCGCCTTTTCAAGTACCGCTTTAATCATACGGTAATTAAAGGATGATAAGAGCAACGATGGCACTTTTACCACACCATTAGGCATCTTAGTTCCTATTTATTCCTTAAGAAGTGCAAGTTTATCTAACTGTTTATTTGGCCATCTAACATTTGGATATATATATATATATATATTCCTTAAGAAATGTAAGTTTATCTGTTTATTTGCCCATCTAACATTTGGACATATATATATATATATATATATATATATATA